CTGGCTGGCTTCAGGAGCTGTTCACTGTCGTGGTGCCTGCCATTTTGCCTCGCTAGAAGTCCTCATATGATGTGTCTTGTGCTGTTGAACCAATCATGCAACGTTCATTCCCTACTAATAAATCTACAACACTTAAAATATAAATCCAGGGACGTTAAATGAAATCCGGGGACATTCTGGGGACGGATTTTGTCTGGGGACAGATTTGTAAATCTGGAGACTGTCCCCGGGAAACAGGGACATCTGGTAACCATACCCTAACTCACTGAAGATTTGAGACCCATCAGCTACCCTCACCTGGTTTAGAAGGCCAGTCAAAGTTGCTTCCCAGGGTGCGGCCGCTGTTTCATGTTGACAGCTTCTAGGAGCCACCAGTGAGAGCTGAATGCAGGGAGGGGCGTCAAATTTTGGCCTTAATACACCCCCTCCATGTACAACAAAGCAGCGTGTGGCCTGCAGGTTCTGTGTCAAAGTACTATTGTGGCCCACTTGGTGTGAAAAGTTGGACTGCCCTATTCTAAATAAATAAATATTCCCACCCCCTCCCTCAGCTTCTAGTTACAGGCAAGACAAACAGTTGAAGGCATCCAGTTCTAGCCTGCAGCGTGAAATTGAAAAATATATGTGCGCGCAGTCAAAAAAATTATTTGTGGTTTCAATCCTCCCGAAACCTTTCATCTCGTGCAAAAAATATATCTGAAATAAAACGCACTGTAAAGAACAAGGAACACTGAATGCAATTAGGTTTGAACAGAACTCTCTGTACATTCAAATAAAGTCTTCTTTATTTATTGCCTTTTGCCTTTCAAAGACCACTTACCTTGCTGTGAGCTCTAAGGGGTGTGCTTTATATACAGGCTTTGTGTCCAAAGGGTTTTAGAAATAATCTTACATCAAAATATATATTCTACTCTCTAAATAAAAGAATTTATTCCATTTTCCGCTCTAGACTTTCAGGATAACTATTTATAGATTTTCACTGCCACCTGGGCCCATTTCTTTTGTAAACTAAGATGATAATAAAGGTTAGCACTTCAAGATGCAGAGATTCCTGAGTGTAGTTTAATACTGAAAGACTATGAAAGCAGTGTACATTTAAGGGAGCAATTTACTGAAGTTGTGGAGTGAGGTTTAAGCAACAATTTCACTTTCAGCAAAGCAGTGCATGTGATAAGGCATACAGAAGCATCTTAAAATAAACCCCAATCTTCACAGTAAACAATAAGAAAAAAGGCTTTAATCCTTTAAATTGAAGATGGAAAATTGCAATATGAAACTGTCTTGGAGAATCACAGGATTGTACAAGAGTAATGTAATTGGTCCTTTAAGTCTACATCAAGGAATGGAGAGCTTGTGGCCCTCTATAGGTTATTAGACTCTGACATCCATAAGCCTGAGCCAGCACAGCCAATGGTCAGGGATGATGGGAACTGTAGTCCAGCAATATCTGGAGATATTAAAGTAAGTACCAGATGAGCTCCTCTTGGGACACCACAAATAGAAGGGCCATAGCTCAGAGGTAGAGCATCTTCTTTGCTGCTTTATACTGAATGAGACCATTGATCTATCTGATTCAGTATTGTCTACACTGACTGGCAGCAGCTGTCCAGGATTTCAGGCAGGTATCAGGGACTGGCAGGATGCTGACGAGTGTGCACCGGGGGAAGGGAGGCTGAAGTCTGACTCAGGAGAGGGGGGCAGTAGTCTGTGGGGATTGGTACCAGCAAGGAGGCAAGAATCAGAGGCAGGGGAAGCTTCGGAGCTGGAGGAAGAGGCAGGCCAGGCAAGTGAAGGTCTGGATGAATCCCTGGAGATCCACTATTTGGGTGCCATGCAGCTTGCAGACGAAAGCTTTTCATGAGATTAAGAGAGTGAGGGAGTCCTTAGGTTTCAGGATCAAAGGTTTCCATGGGAAGGGAATAAATCAGGGCTACGATGGTGAATATTGCAAAAGTGTACCCACTTACCTAATACAGTGGTACCTCGGGTTAAGTACTTAATTCGTTCCGGAGGTCTGTTCTTAACCTGAAACTGTTCTTAACCTGAAGACCACTTTAGCTAATGGGGCCTCCCGCTGCCACCGCGCCACCGGTGCACGATTTCTGTTCTCATCCTGAAGCAAAGTTCTTAATCCGAGGTACTAATTCTGGGTTAGCGGAGTCTGTAACCTGAAGCGTATGTAACCCGAGGTACCACTGTAGAGATCTTTTGTACTCCAAGTGTGCAGTGTACGCCTTGTGAATCTGGTTAGACAGCACACTTTCCCCGTTGCACAGAAATGCTCGTAGATTAAGAAAAGAAAAGCACCCTGTAATTTATTGTTGAAAGTACATAACTTGGATAGAAAAGTTTATCGTGCTAATTTAACTACCTAATCTACAGAAGAAAAAGGCAGTGTCAGGGAATGGTCTGAAGACGAGGAAGAAGAAGAAGAAGAGTTTGGATTTGATATCCCGCCTTTCACTCCCCTTAAGGAGTCTCAAAGCGGCTAACATTCTCCTTTCCCTTCCTCCCTGACAACAAACACTCTGTGAGGTGAGTGGGGCTGAGAGACTTCAAAGAAGTGTGACTGGCCCAAGGTCACCCAGCAGCTGCATGTGGAGGAGCAGAGACGCGAACCCGGTTCACCAGACTACAAGTCTACCGCTCTTAACCACTACACCACACTGGACTGGGGAATGCATTCTATGGCAGACCACCTTCTCTCGATGCAGAGCTGGAGGGGGAAGAGTCACCCACCTTGTCCACAGTGTGTTCAGAAGCAGAGAGAGAGACAGAAGCTGAGCAGCTTAAGAAGGAGTTACCCAGTTTTGGGATAATGACAAGGGAAGCAGAAGGGAGGGGGCAGCTAGTTGAGATGTCTCTTGAGAGCATGAGGGACCCCCCCCTCACCACGGACTTGGAGGTCCGAACGTATCAGGGAGCAAAGGAGTCAGAGAGAGGAAGGAACTTCCTGTTAGCGCCCAAAATACTGCGGAAGCTGGAAGGAGGATTAGAGTAGCCAACTGGCCTCCTTGCGGAGAGCTGTGTATATGTGCTCGCAATATGATGTTGTAATAAAAGGTTTATAAATCTATCAACTCCTTGTTAACTCTTATCTGTGAAGTTACCAAAGAGAGGGGTGGACTCTCCACGCCTGACAGGCAGCCTTATTTGCTGCATTGTTCTCAAAGGATAGTCCCATGGGGAACTCTCATCTTGAGGTCTGAGAGTGAAGTGGGAGCAGGAAGAGGAGGGAGGGTGTGAACTGGATGCAACCCAAGAGGATCAGTCTAAACATCAAAGAGATAGAGGGGTCAGCTTAAGAGGTCAAAGGTATGGAGAATCTGGAGGTCCCTCACTCTAGCTGTCTTAACCTATGATAATGTCATCTTCTGCAAGTTGAGTTGCGCTCAAACTCCCAACAGAAGTGGGCATGGGAATCATTATTGTGAGCTTTGTGAAGCACTTCGTACGTCAAAAGCACTATAGACATTAGTTTGGAGATATTTTGTTTTTCAATAAACCAAGAATGTCACATGGTTTGATGTTACATCATGACATTTCTGCCGATGTGTGAAAAAGAGCCTTTGTATTTCAGAAGCAACAACAAAAAAGAGGGGTAAAGTTTCTTCCAGTCAAAAATGAAACAGCAATCATTTCACCAATCATGGAATAAGTCCGGAAAGATTTATGTTTAAAGCAGAAAGTCATAAAAACGAACATTAAGCCAGTTTTATGCTTCTCCAGTAAATACTTGCACAGCGGGGTAGCCTTTATGGTTGTGGACAGGCAAAACACATTACATAATTTCAGCTATGAAGAAAGTGGGGTGGAATACTATAAATCTGTCATCTTGGGCGTAAAGCTATACCTTTATTGATTTCTTGGAGCAGAGCAGAGCAGAACAGAATGAAACTTGGAGGCAGGGGAGAGTACACCATTTCCAGCTCTTTAATGATGATGATGTGGGGGGTGAACAGGATACAGGGAGAATGACTCTTCCATTGCCATTCTTGAAATTTGGATCAGGCTTTGGACAATCATGCAAGCACTAGAATTTGCTGCAGCTCAATTGGTCTCCCGCTCCTCCTTTCAAAACCACCAGAATATTGTAGTTACCATAGTACTTTGAACTAGATTCAAAGTATGCCTGCCACAAAAGCAAGCAATAAGACAGAAATGTGGTCCATTAAGAAACACACACACACACACACACACACACAGAGAGAGAGAGAGAGAGAGAGAGAGAGAGAGAGAGATTGATCAAGGTATTCAATGGAAAATAAAAAGCTTGCCACTACTTTGGCCAAGCCCTTTTCTTATACAGTGGTACCTCGGGTTACATACGCTTCAGGTTACAGACGCTTCAGGTTACAGACTCCGCTAACCCAGAAATAGTACCTCGGGTTAAGAACTTTGCTTCAGGATGAGAACAG